GCTCCCCAGGTATTTCTGATGAGCAGTAGCACATTTGGGAATTCCTGTCCTCTTCCACATTAACTGTGTTACCGGAGAAGTTCATATGTGCAGATGAGGGAGTGTACATGGCACCATGCTGAAGCATGGTGGGGCCTGATTCCACGCCTTAACCCCGAGGATAGGCTGTTCTGTTGGCTTCCAGGCACTTTTGGGACATGCTCTTCTACTGCCAGAGAGAACGCCTTTTGTTTTGGACCAGGAGCATTAGAGTGGTTCATTTTCCCTCCAATTGACTGCTGATTCAAGGGTATTGTGCTATCTGATCATCCTAGTATCTGATTCAGCAGGGCCCAGCCTGTAGGATCCTGAGCGGGAGTCCTTCTCACAGGTTGCCCCGGCACCTCACGGGCCTCACCAATGTGATCCTGATCTTTCACAGACACTAGATTCTCAAATCCAGGAATCTGGGCCTTTCCTCTTGGCCTGAGGATCAAGGTGGGGTCCTCTGTAAAGAGGCCTAGGCCTGACTCTAAATGCCCCAGGTTTTGGCTCCACGGCATTTGAGGTAACTGATCTGAAGGTTTTGGCTAAATGTGTCCAATGAATTATCTATGTTCCTATATCTATAAGATAAAGTCATACTAGCAATTTTTTTTTTCCAATGAGAAGGATGCTGACTTTAAAGAGTAATAATCTCTATGTCTTTTTTATCTTCTTCAGTGCGAAAAATCCCAGTTTCACTTAGTAATTTCCTGACCTGGTAGCAATGAATCCACCTTGATGGCTGGGGTTCAAGTTCTTCTAATTCAGAATTTCCCTCTATTTGCTGTCATCTTTAACCTCTCAAATTGTGACCCGCTTAGTTCTTGACATTATTTGTGTTAATAATTTAAAAAGTAATAATAACCATAATAATCATAATCATAATGAAATAATGACAATAGCAACTATAGTTACTATGTTTTAGGTACCACTCTAATGCTTTCCCCTATTATCTCTTCTGTCTCAAAACCATTGCCAAGTAGGTATTCTGATCCCCATTTTAAAATGAGGAAACCAGTGCTCAGAGACACTAAGAAATGTCCCCAAGGTCACCTTTAGCATAAGTAGTGAAGCCAGTATTTCTATCCAAGCCTGACTTACTGAAGAGACTGTACTTTCAGCCACTATACTCAAGTGCCTTCCACGGCTCGTTTTCTCTAGATCTAACACATGACGGCCAAGATCAAGGATTTCCACATCAGAGGCCTAATTTTATATTCCAGTTCTGCCAATTTCTAGTTGAGTAACTCGGGGCTGATTATTTAATCTCTTCATCTATAAAATGAGGATAACAATGCCTTCTCATGGGGTTCAGGTAAGGATTAGATAAGAAAATGCACAGTGCCTAGCACACAGTCAGTGTTCAATTACCAGCAGCTATAACTGCTACATTTCTGCTGGTTTCCTTATACTTTTTATACCATACAAAATGCCTACTCCTTTCTCTTGCAGGTTGTATTCCCACCGCACACCAATTTCAAGTTCTGGAATTTATTCTGTTCTGATTTGTATACAATAACAGGGCAGTCTCAGAGCAATAACAGGAAAACAAAACTAATTTGAGAAACAGCATCCCTCCCAAAAAACACTCGGAGGATATGACAAGTGTGGCATCCTTCCTGGATCTCTTATTTTCTCTACCTTCAGTTTTTTAAAGGGGTCATTTCTCCCTGGTGACAATATCAGCTGCTTCCCTATGATAGACAATGAACTGATATCTCTGCCAGATACAAAGGACTCCCCCCGTCTCAGTGACCACTGCTTCTTCTTGTCACACCTGCTTTATCTCCTTCACCCAAACTGGTGTGACTCCAAAATTTATTGCCAGAAGCCTCAGCTATCTGGCTCTGCATGTGGGCTTCCTGGTAAGAGGTCTTGGAACAATCTATCTTGGCTGCCACATGGTGGTACCCATCTGTGGATACCGTTTTTTCATCTCTGCCCTTCTTGTCCTGAAGCTTCATCTATCACTTTCACTAGAACACCATGTACTTAAAGGCATTCTTTCCCGTTGTGTCTCCTGGGATCATCTTAGGTTGTGTTTGTGGCTACAGTACTGGACTCAAAAGAACATAACCTGGTCAGGGGATGCACAGCTAGGTTTTCATTTAATTAAGGGGAAAAAACGAAACCCAGCAGTCCAGTCATTGTTTAATGAAGGGGGTTTTCAGACCTCAATCTGGCAACAAGTAGAGCATGCAAACTAAACTCCTTTCCCTGAACAGGTTTATGGTGCCAAAGCACCACCTACATTCTAGACACAGCTGTTCACCTGACCAGAGGCAACCTGAGAAAGAAAAAAACTGGGTTTTTGCTTTGTTTCCATCTGATCTCTTCTCTCACCCTTAGTTCCTGTTTTTACAAATCTGGATCATTACCAAAGAAGACAACATTCAGAAGGTAATAAGGAACTGACTGGTGTCATAAACAAGTAACAAAGCAGAAGGGAAAGTAAGGAATTGGTATTTTCCAGCTAGAGTGGGGGAGGAGGACGAGAGTAGAAAGAAGATGGGGAAGCAGTCCTAACAGGTCTTAGAGAATCCGCAAGCTGGATTAGGGAAGCCGACCTCCACAGGCTGCATTGGTCTCTTCACTTCCCTCATTTCAACCCTCAACATGGGCAACACATCACCTCTGTCTGGGTTTGGCTGCTCTAGGCATTTCTTTCTGGTAAAAGGTGTGTTGGTCACTTTCCAGCCAGGAGCTTCAGGCAGAGGGTAGTGGCCCATAGGCTGGAATGATGGTTTCACAGAGCATGGTTCACTTGGTAATTCTGTAACCTGCTGGCCTCTGCCAATTTACAAGTCAGAATCTCTGGGGGAAGTCAGAGAATTCTTGTATGCAATAACATGTAAGAATCCCTGAGATAATACATATTGAGACTCAATAATCTAGGCAAATTTTCAAGTATCCATTTTGTGCATTATAACAACTCCCTAAAGATGTTTGTGTCTTAATTCCTAGAATATGTTAGGTTACAGGACAAAAGAGAATTCCATCAGGTCGCAGATGGAATTAAAGTTGCTAATCAACTGGCCTTAAAATGGGGAGATTATCCTGGATTATCCAGGTGGCCCAAATGTCATCATAAGAGTCCTTTTAGAAGACAGAGGTAGAAGACAAGAGTCAGAGAAGGAAACATGACCATGGAGATTATGTGATGTGAGAAGGATTCAGGCTGCTTTTGTAGGCTTTGAAGCTGGAGAAAGGGACCATGAGCCAAGGAACGTGAACAGCCTCTAGGCACTGCAAGAGGCAAGAAAAGAGATTCTCCCTTAGAGCCTCCAGAAGTACCACAACCCTACTGGTCCTTGATTTCAGCCCAGGGAGACCCATGTCAGACTTCTGACCTGCAGAATTGTAAAATAAAATGTGCGCTGTTTTAAGACACTAAGTTTGTGGCAATTTGTTATAGCAGCAAGAGAAAACTAATATAAACAGGTTACTGCAGATAAATGACTGCATTCAATGGCATCAATAGATATGATATAAAAAATGCACACACACAGAATGTTTCTGAAAGGCATAAAGTTTAAGAGACTGAAGGCCCATTATCCACCCTCCTCCATCCTGCTCTGTGCCCTGTTAGGCAGACCTCTATGGGCTAAACTACCCAACTCCACCCGGCTCCCAGTTGGGCTCTACCCATGGGAGGCACCAGCAAGAGACTGGAGGGTGCTCAGGCTCCAGTGCTGACCTTGCACTTGTATGACCCTCAGGGTGAGTGTCTCCTTACATCGGAGGCTCTAGGCATCTCGCTTGCCTCACTCAACAGGAACAATGACGAAGAAAGAAGAAGCCCTCTCTAGGGTCCAAGAAACCCTTCTAGAGAAGACGGCAGGCTGACGGCTACTGTGAGCCCAACCACAAAGGATCTGGAATTCTTCACCATTTCTGACATGCCCCAACCTGACCACATCCCGCCACAGGCTGCTCTGGGGTGAACTATGTCAAGAGGCCATGTAGTTGAGAAAGCAGGAAAGAAACGTCAAGAAAATATAACTCAATAGTACCAAGAGAAACAATGTAACTTGAAAACAACCCTGGATTAAGCAATTTACTCAGTTACTATAGATGCAACCCAGCTATATGCAAATCAATGCAAATATAAACAACACCCTCCATAGGGATAGCTTTTTCTTTGCTTTCTCTAGCCTCTAAAACAAATCCAATTTGGAGGATGAAAATAGAAAATTACACTGCAGTGGAATAAGATTTGTTTATGCATCTCAGCACTTCTACCAATACCCGCAACAGCACCCCTAAGCTAAAAGTGTCTTGTTCATACAGAAGAAAGGCATGATTTAGAGGTAAACTACATAGGATTGGTGAAGTAGAAAAGCATACCCACCTCTGCCTATAGAGATTTGGGAAAGTGATGGCCTTTCCTGCCAGAAACCTTTCTACATCAGCAATCCTCCCACTCTTCTTCCGAGTGTCTGAGTTCAGTTCTGTCTCCTCTGTGGCCCCACAGCACAGAATATGCTCAATAAGTGGGTATTGAGTGCATGAAGGAGTCCACAGACAGGGCAGTCATACAAGGCCACGACTGACTAGATATAAACATACTTTGCCATGCATTACCTGTTAACTTCAGGAATCTCCCTACTTCTTATCCCCCTTAGGCGCCCCCCACCCATTCCCGCCCTAAGTATTTTTAGAACAAAAATACAACAAAACGATAGGAAGAAGACTGTGGCAGGAAGAAGGTGGTAGTATTAACACTCCAAATAAGGCTGCAAGAAATTTAGAAGCCGGACACTTCCCACTCCCGCCAAAAACATTTGTTTCCTGCCCATAAATAGGAACACCACGCAGATTTGCTTATCTTTAGGAAAAAAAAAAAAAAAAAATCTTATTTTTAGAAAAAATCTACGAGATTGTTTTAAAGACTTGTAGGTCAGTAGGCTAACATTTCTACCCTCAAACGGCAAGCCAGCTCTTGAACACTGGTGTTCTTTCTGTTGGGCGTCTACCTGAGCCGGGAAGAACCAGATGAAGAGGTTGCTGTTGTAAGTCTTATTCACGGTGAGGAAGCCGGCATAACTCTTCATGTTCAGTCCTAGGAAAGGACTGACCAAACTCAATTCTTTTCCTAGTGGGAGGGAAAAAAAAAATTTACCCAAGGATTACAGAAAACAACAACAACAACAATGTGAGCCATCTATCTCAGTCTGGATGAAATGAAGTGATTAGATTAGCTAAAAGGGGACTGGTATGAAAGGTAGTTCCTTCAACAAATTCCAGCCTGCCCCTGGCCAGTCCCACATAGTCCACATTCACAATTTAGCCAAGGATACGTGAAAGTTTTAAGTCTTTGGGGAGGGGTGACCAAATATATTTTACAAGCTGTGATAAGGTTGTTTTTAAAGTTCTTTTAAAAAGAAGAAAAGAAAATCTCCTATCATCACACCTTGCATAAACCAAGGTGTTCACCCTGGGCCACATGGAAAGGAGCAGGATAAAGTAAACTGACCTGAAACAGTGGGGTGCAAGAGTAACAATGTGGTGAAGCAGCTCTCGGCCTCACCCCAAGAAGGCTGGTGTCCTTCATGATCTTGTTTTCATGAAGGCAAAAAGGCTGTCACATCTACTAAGAGGAGTGGGTCGAGGCATATGGGAGTGTGGGCGGCTGTGGACAGTGGGGAGACTGGGGGTGACCTCATGGCTACTCAGGGGGAACCAAACAGGACAATGGGACAGTTGTGGAGGCCAGGGGTCCTGGTTTTTTTATGGCACCATTGGGATAGGCACAGGGAAGGAGTAATTGGGGATGCTTAGATGGCCAAGGATGCCCAGGAGTAAAGAATGCTACTAGGAGCTGACATTTACAAGGCCACATTACCAGGGCTTTTACATGATGTGGGAAGTATAATTCTCATTCCCACTTTAAAGATAAGAAAGCTGAAGCACAGAGAGGTTAAGTGACTTGCCTGAGGTCACACAGCTAGTAGAGGAGAGGCTGGGATTAAACCGAGCAGTCAGGCTGCAGAGTTTGTTCCTTCCTCCAGGGCTTTCAACTAGAGTGAGTCAGAAGGTGCAGGTGGCAGGGAGTGGGAAAGGAAGTAGTGGTCAGGAAGGGAGTGGCAAAGGAACAGAAAACAGCAGAACGTGGTGGGGAAGTAAAAGGGAAAATTTGGGCGAAGGAGAAGAATCCTTTAGTGGTGACAAAGAATGTGTCCCCAGTAGGAACTAATCACGCAAGAAAAGCGATGTAGGTCTGAGCCATATTAAGTTGGAGACCGGTTAGTAGCTTAGGAAGCTTGACTCCTCACATGCCATCAACTAAAGACGCCTTTGGTGGTAGGTGGAGTCCTTAGACTCTGGAGGGCTAATTGTTAGCATCTCTTCCCAGCTCAGCATTCAGAGACAACATTGATAGGATAAAATAAGCCAAGGTGATAATATTTACACTCAAAGGAATAGATGCTGTAAGTCAGGGTCCTGACTCCAAGGGCTGGTTGCTAAACTTTCACCAGCGCACTGCTGTTTTGGGACCACTAGCTCCTCTTTTAAAAGAGGCATGCCTCTTAGCCGAGCATGGTGGCAGTGCTTGTAGTCCCAGCAACTTGGGAGGCTGAGGTGGGAGGATCACTTGAGCCCAGGAGGTCAAGTGATCATGCCACTGTATTCCAGCCTGGATGACACAGCAAGACCCTGTCTCAAACACAAACATATATATAGGCATGCCTCTCAAAAGGAAAACCTCTCATCTAGACCGCACGGTTCCTATGCTGATCCTAGCACTCCTATCGACCAGCTGGTGACCCTCTGTATTTAACCTCCCTGTACTTCAGTTTCTCCTCTGTGGAAGATGGACTGCCCATGGGCCACCTGGATTAAAAGAGCCCCACATGTAAAACCTATAGAAAGAAGCTGGCAGGTAGGGAGCAGAATTACTGTTGCTATCTGTGAAATGCACCTGCTGATTAGGAACAGGAGCACCTCTGAGCAGAGGAGGTCATGGGGACAAAGGAAAGGTCTCAATAGGTGGTCCTTGAGGGTCCTGTTAGGCCAACACAATAGGAGAGCATGGGTTTCCTAGCCTGACAGAGCTGGGTTTGGAATCCTAACTAGATTAGGACTCCCCAGCAAGTTGCTCCATCTCTCTGAGCCTCTTTCCTTTTATGCAAAATACAAATACTGATTCTGCTACCCTAGGCTTTCTGTGAGGATCAAACAACAAAAATGCATACGAACCCTTAGCCTAGCACTACATATAAAATAAGGGTTCAGTCAATTGGAAGGGAAAGTTATAATTAGCCTTTGGCCACTCCAAGTGAAGTCTAGAAGAATTTCCCTTTTCTGGCTCAGCCTGGTGCTCCCAGGGAAGTCTGCTTAATGCAACCTCTGTAGGTCTTCCCATTCTGTTCCCAATGAGGTCTATCCCTCCTCCATCAGAAAAAAAAAAAAAGCCAAAGAAAAAGAGAGAGGGGAGGATCTTATGAGAAAGAAAAGGGAGGTGTTGGGGAAAATAGCTTTTGCCGCTCCTCCCCTCCCACTCTTCCCACCATCTGTCTTTTTTCTTCTCCCCTTCTTCACTTCCACTCTTAATTAGCCCACAGAAAGATCACCCCCCAGGGCTGGGCAGCTTTTAAAATGCTTTTGAAATATTTTTAGCAGAACTATTAATCTTCTCAAAACCAAACAGAGATACTAGCCCCCTCCCCACCCCCCGCAAAAAAGGAGAGGAGAGAAGTAAAAACTGTGGATCGGAAATGAGTGAGATGTGGACCACAGAGAGGTAAATGGGAAGAGGAGGATTTGAGAAAGAAGACAGAAAAAAGTGAGAAAGGTCCAAGTATAATGAGAAAAAGAGAAAATATATAATAGAAAAGAGCTGGAGGGAATGGAACAGAGGAGAGGATGATTGAATCAATTTATCTCTCCCAAGACCAGCACCCCACAGGGTCCACGGACTGCTCTCAAATGATTCAGATGTTCACTCATCCCTCCCTTCCCGAGGATGCCAAAGTAGCTTCTCTGCTACCTTGTACTTGCGTATATTTCAGGCCTTCCCTCCTAGGTCAGGAGGTTGGGAAGTGGGGAATTTTGTCTTATATAACTTTGCATACCTTGGGACTTGGCATGCTGATTTACACATCTTAGACATTCAATAAATACTTTTTAATGAATGAATGTTAACAAATCAATGGATGAACGAGTCAACAAATGAATGAACTAAAACAAGCCCCACTGACAATGCACTAAGACTAGCTCATTTCTACAAAAACCTCCTAAGGCAGACCTTGTTAAGAGATCTAAAGAAATTTAGAACTTTTCTCTAGCCCATAAAAAGAGTTTTGCCCTGTTTCAAATTTTAAATTTCCACTAACTAAATCCCAGTAAAATAATAAAAAATGTCATCAACTAAAATGACTTTTTATATTTTCAAATGTCCTGTGCATCCTATTACTGTAATGTGGAAAACAAACAAACTCCCAAGGTGGAGGAGTTTCTATCTTTCCGGCACCATGACTCACAATCCAAATGTTTAGAACAGTTTTAAAAAGGAAAAGGTTCTCTTTGAAGTGATTTTACTTCCTCCTTGTTTTTTACTGCTGCTACCAGTGTTTGTGATATTAACACTTTCAAAAACATTGGAGTGTGACCAACAAAGGGCTTCAACCAGCTAATCAGCATGCATGTCAGATTCACAAACACTCAAGTTATCAGCAGTGTGGACACACAATACCAGATCATAAGTAACAATAAATTAGGACCTACTAGTAAAATAGTCTTTAAAGTGTGAAAATGCAGTGTTTATAAACAAGCTAAAATGTGCCTCCTACGTTCAGTTTGTTTCAGGGAGTAAAGATTTATTCTAGCTTCAGAGAAAGTAAACATGCAATTACAATTACACAAAACTAAGCCAGTTAATTGGGGATTTGAAAAATAAAAATTTCCCTTGTTTTTTTTGTGAGCTACTGTTTATCTCGAAAATGTTCCATTGCAATAATAAGACTCACATTCCTGGGGTTTTGACAGACTCCATAAACAAAAGGGATTTAGGGGAGTGAGCTGACCATCTGTCCAGAGCTTCCTGAACTTTCAGCAAAGCGGATGAATAAAATTATCCTTAATTATGTTGTCAGGGCTACATTTGAATACCCAGATGTAACAGATTTTGAATCAGCCACTTAAAATTCTGTTCAAAGAATTTGACTGTGTAGCGTAACTTCAGGAAGTGATACTATACACAGATTTACTATTTTAAATGTTGTCAATCATCAGATGAAGATCTACCAATCTTGACATAGAGGGTGGAAGATAAAACTACTTCCCTTGGAATCTTTCTCGGCTGCTACTAGTACCCATAACTGAGGAATGCTTATAGGCAAGAAAGACAGGAACAGAAGGGATGTCAACAGTCTCTCAGATGGATTTCTCTGTATTCTTTTTACTTGGTTCCACCAGATGTACGATACAGATACACCACGGTCACTTTCACTTAATGCCTTTGTTTAAGCTGCTTCTCTCCTTTGGTATGCACAGACCTTTCGCTATTTACATAAATCTTACCCAACACTCTGAAGTCCAAAGCTGGTCATACAGCACAGTGGTTCATACCATGGGCTCCGGGGTTGGCCAGTATAGGGTTTAATTCAGAGCTGCTCATATAGCATAGTGGTTCATACCACGGGCCCTGGGGTTAGCCAGTACAGGTTTTAATTCCAGCTCTGCCACTTACTAGTTTTATGGCCCTAGGCAAGATATTTGATTTTTCTGGGCCTCAGTGTTCTCATTTGTAAAATGGGAACAATGCTTATGGATTTTTCATTAGGGTTGCTCTGAGAACTAAATGAGCTAATGGATGTAAAGCACAATGCCTGGCACATGGTTGGTACCCAAATTTAAATTCCATACATATTTATACATACATGTATAGGTACTATGCTAGGTACTAGGGATATAATGACTCAATGTTAGCTACTTATTATTTTTACTACAACTACTATAGCTTTAGTATTTTCTCCCTAGATTATGCCAACCAACAGGCATACGTTCCTTCTCCGAATCTCCAGTGCACTTACTTCAAATGTACTACTTTAGTACGTTAGTATGCACTACCCAATTCCTTAATTGTTTTGTGTGTATGCATCCGGTCACTTTAGAAGAACACTTTAGAAGCTTGTGAAACAAACAGAACTAAATTATAGTAGGCAAATCACAGAGTAGAAGTCAGAAGATTTGGGTCCTAAACCCATCTCTGCTACCCAACTCTATTGCACACATCCCACTGGGCAACTCAGGTAAAGTATTTCAGTCTCAATTTCCTCATATGTGGATTGGTAGAATTTGGTTATAACAATTACTTAACTCCTTTTCAATCCTACAATAAATGGTTTGCTTTGATTTACTGTTAATGAACATAAATCTAAGCCATCAGAATCCACTTGTTGAGGAAGCTGAAATACATACATGTAATCCAATTTGGAGGGTTTGAGTCATTGATACTTTGCCTCTTCACACGCATCTGTATCAGCCCATACAGTGGGGCAGCCATCTTCCCATGACTTCTCTATGCGAGGTAAAAATCAGTCCTTTTTAAAATACACTAAATACATTATCAAAGTTTTTCATCTTTCCTTAGAAAAGAGATGGTGAAACTTGAAGCCAATGTGTATTTCAGAAAAAGACATATGAACAGCACTTACACATACCCTTAAAATGTAAGAATGTTTTCGTGTAAAACGAAAACCAAAAAACAATGACATCCTATTGGCTGTGAGAATACTTCGAATGAATAAAATTTGCTTTATTTTAAACTTCTTTGTAGAGTATTTAGATTTGCTTTTGATCTTTAAAATGACCATTTGTGTAACATTTCCAGTGTTCTTCTTCATTCCCATCACATCTGCCAAGCTGCCAGCTTCACAGGCACCATCTCTGCCTTTCCACCTGTGACAAGGGACAAACTTGGGGCTCCCGTGTGCCAGATCCCTGTCTCTCACCTTCTTAAACACAGTCTCCAACAATGGTACCCCAAACCAAACCAACTCCCCACTCATTATTTCAATCAGCAAACAAACATTCTCTCCTATTCTGTTGAAGACCCTTCCTGGACCCCAGTGCTCCCTCCAGCCACTACGCCATTTCTCTGCTGCTCTTTGCAAACAGCTCCTCAGAATAGCTACCTGTCTACTATTTTATAGCTCAGGAACCTACTGAAGTTCAGAAAGTTGAAATCATTTACCTGCACAGTGATTAAGAACAAAGAAGCATTAAGAGCAGATACAGGGCCAGAGGCGGTGGCTCACGCCTATAATCCCAGCACTTTGGGAGGTTGAGGCAGGCGGATGACTTGAGGTTAGGAGTCTGAGACCAGCTGGCCAACAAGGTGAAATCCCATCTTACTAAAAATATTAATAAAAATTTAGCAAGCGGGGTAGCGCACACCGTAATTCCAGCTACTCAGGAGGGCTGAGGCAAGAGAATTGCTTGAACCCAGGAGGCAGGAGGGTGCAAGTGGTACGAGCTGCCGCCCCACCGCACTGCAGCCTGGAACAGAGCAAGATTTCCGTCCAAAAAAAAAAAAAAAAAAAAAAAAAAAAAAAAAAAAAAAAAGAAAAGAGCAGATGCAGGTCATAAATTTTAGTCTCTGATAAACAATAAGTGAATATATTTTCCTATTAGTAATAACAATAGAAAAACCACAATCTCTAAATAAAAGCCATTTGCAAAACACTCATATTTGGAGAACAATTATAGAGTACAAAAAATTTTCATGTGCCGTTATCTCGTTGGATTTTCATAATATCTCTGCAAGTTGGGTAAGTTGTTAAATCTCCCAATTTTATCTTAATGAGAAAACTAAGGCCTAGACTTGCTGGATAAGGGGGCACAGCAGGGAGGCTGCAGTGAGGCTGTCTGAGTATGAAGCCTACACACCAGCTGGTATCTGCGTGAACTCTGGCTAGTAGTTCAGTCTCTTTCTGTGTTGGTTTCACATGTATAAAATGGGTCCACCTCCCTAGGATGTTGACATGTTTAAATAAGTTCATGCAGAAAGCTTGGAACCAGTGATTGACTCATAGTAAGTCTTAAGGATAGTACTAGCAGTAAGTGCTCACTGGGGGACAGGCACTCTACTAGTCTTATAAATAAAATGCTGCAACTCAAACATGCAGGTAATTCAGCCCTGGCTAATTCTCATTTTAGCTAAAAACTCAGATAACATATGACATCAAGTCATTAATATTTGAAATAGGCCAGGTGCGGTGGCTCATGCCTGTAATCCCAGCACTTCTGAAGGCTGAGGAGGGCAGATCACCAAAGGTTAGGAGTTCAAAACTAGCCTGGCCAACATGGTGAAATCCCGTCTCTACTAAAAATACAAAAATTAGCCAGGCGTGGTGGTAGGCACCTGTAATCCCAGCAACCCGGGAGGCTGAGGCAGGAGAATCACTTGAGCCCGAGAGGCAGAGGTTGCAGTAAGCAGAGGATGCACCACTGCACTCCAGCCTGGGTGACAGAGAAAGACTCTGTCTCAAACAAACAAACAAACAAACATATATATTTGAAATAAAACAACTGAGTAAAAATACTTAAATACATTTTGCATCCTATGGGTTGTTTTAAGAAAAACTATTGGCCAGGTGCAGTGGCTCACAACTGTAATCCCAGCACTTTGGGAGGCCGAGGTGGGCGAATCATGAGGTCAAGAGATCGAGACCATCCTGACCAATATGGTGAAACCCCATCTCTACTAAAAATACAAAAATTAGCTGGGCATGGTAGGCACACCTGTAGTCCCAGCTACAATTGCTTGAACCTGGGAGGCAGAGGTTGCAGTGAGCTGAGATCACACAACTGCCCTCCAGCCTAGTGACAGAGTGAGACTTCGTCTCAAAAAAAAAAAGAAAAACTGTTGAATTCATGCCAGTGGTTCTCTGATTTAATTAAACTTACTTACCTTTTTGGATCTTCCCAGCTTCAATGTAAGGGGTGAGAAACAATGGCTGTCCTGAGTCTCCCTTAGGTGACATGGAAACACTTCTGTAGAGGGAGCGAAACAGCCCATCACAGGGGCCAGGCGCCAACAGGACCAGCGAAACAATCACCTTCCACATGGCGCCAACCATCTCTCAGGGTCTAGGATAAAAACAGCATTCCAAAAATGAATCAAAAGAGTAAATATTTACCTGGCCCTTTTACATGCAAGAAATTCATTTATTCACTTTAAAACATTATTGTGTGTAAAGGCCCTCTGCAAGGACCTTGGATAGCACCATAAATAAGCACACCCAATCCCTGCTTACCCTTAAATTCACAGGCTAATGGGAGATCCTTCAAGGGATTTACAATGTCAGTAATTTTTAAATTACTGATTTTTTTTTTTTTTTTTAACAGAGTCTTGCTCTGTTGCTCAAGCTAGAGTGCAGTAGCACAATCGCGGCTCACTGCTGCCTTGACCTCCTGGGCTCAAGCAATCCTCCCATCTCAGCCTCCCAAAGTGCTGGGATTATAGGAGTGAACCACTGACATTTTCTAAACTGCAGTTTGGAAAGTAAATTCAATGGAGGATTCAATAAAGCCTCAGAACAACAAGAACTCTGTAACTGACCATAAATGGGTGGTAGAAATCACTATGTCACCACAGAAGGGCAGAGGATTGAGAGCATATTTCAGGTCAAAAGATCATAGAAAGGCCTTACCCAAGTTGGATGTGGACAAAAGGTGAATGGTTCTCAGACAGGTGGGAGAAATGGGAAAGGCATCACGGGTGGGTGGAAACAGCTTAAGCAAAGGTGAGACCTCAGGCATCCTTGCACATCTTGCAGGGAAATTTCAAAGAAGCAATGGATTTCTGCTTATGTTCTCTATCTCTTATAAGCCCCCAGTTTGTATCAAAGAACAACAACAACAAAAACAAAAACGGAAATGAAGAAAGAAAGGGGGAGGGGGTCCTACAACTACCCTTAGGTCCCTCCCCTTATTGCTAGCTGATAAGTAAATTAAAGACATTAGGCCCCAAACCATTAGCACAAAGCTTTCCAAAGATCTTCAAATCTGATGTTTGCTTAGAATATTCATCTGAGATGATAATAGTAATGGCATAAAATTGTATAATGATTTACTTGTACATCAATATGTAAATTATACATATAGTGGGCTTTCCCATGTATTTGTAGCTGATTTGAATCTCCTAATTTCACCAGTGTTAGAAAAAAATGAATGGTATTTGTTAAAGCACGCAGACAAAGACTTTATTAGGATAATGATAGGCACAGGGACCTTGCAGTCAACAGAGTCTTGCAGCAAGGGAGAGAGATTGGGCTCAACTCCAAATGCAGCATGGGCCAGTGGGAATTTATAGCTAAGGAGCAGTGTGGGGGTCAGTGGATGGAAAATTACTCAAAGGAAGCCCTGGGGTAAGGTGGATCTGGCTAAACCTAATAAGATGCTCGCTGAAGACAGGCCAGGGTGATCAGACATCACCTGGGGGATGGTGCAGGATGAGAAACCTGGTCAAATGTTGAGGTGATAGGATGTTGATGCTGGTGGTTCTCGGTAAAACGACTTACCAGTGTCCTTTGCTAAAACTGGATTTTACAAGGAAGTGCACAAACGGGCCAACCAGAAGATTCAGAAGCCTGACTAAAATTTGGCCAAGGAAAAAATCCTTGTCACCAGGAGAGTGAGGATTATCACCAAATTCAGATAAGGAAAACTTGAATCAAAAGAGTGTCTCATGCAAGGACATGAAAGTAGAGAAACCAGGACTTGACCCCACTCAAGGCCAGGACTAGGGAGAAATGAGGGAGGTGCGGATGTAGGGTCAGAGCTCATCTTGATCTAAAATGTTGACCATTTTTGTTATCATTAATTTTTCTCTGTATTATACAGTTATTTAACTATTACCTTAAAATATCACTGATCTTGAGGTTTTTTTGACACTTTATTAAGTTTTACACCTGAGGCAGTGCCTCTCTTGTCTCGCTCTAATCCTGACCTTGCAAAGTAGGGAATTATGACAAGCACACCAGGGCCGTTACATGACTCTGCACTCCTGCTATTTAAGCATGATCTGTGTTCTTAGGTGTAAATTCTAAATCAAATACACGAAATGAATGAGTACTCCACACACATTTCTGGATGCAAAAAGAGATACATAATTATGCAAATACAATGCCTGCTTTGGTTCAGTGCTTTAAAATGCCAAGCCATTAGAACATCTTAAAAATACAAAATGTGTAAAAATCTTTTAACCACATGCTTATTACAACCCAATTTGGCATAACATGAAAATATTGATTATAGCAAATTTTAAAAGCTTTTCAGGCACATTTCCCCAGTAAGATAAAGGTTTATAATTATAACATGATTGAATATATAACCTTGTCATGTCTCTCAGGGTTAACTTACTAGAATTCTCCACACTTAATGTAAATAAGGCCAGCCGAATCCAGTATGGAGCTAAAAAATGCTTTTGCCTATTACTGACTAAAATAAACAACAAAATGAATTTAGGAACTGAAATTAGGTTCCCAAGAAGCCCCAGGGTAATGACCTCTATGGCAATGTTAAAACATTTTTTAAAATTATGTGAACTTGTTTACACTGATGCTTTTATAGCATAGCTACTTTCAAGGGATGCCTGAAATCAACAATCTTACTCTCTAACTGGTTCAGAAAAAATATATATATATGCGCAATATTTAAAAAATAATGGAAGAAGCTCTTCCAGTAGGAGGTTTTTGTTTTTTGTTTTTTTTTTCCTGGGGACAGAAACAAGAAACCAATCATGCCGTCTAATTTCTCAATCTTCCTGCTGCCAATCCCCAGCCCCCTTTAATGGAAGCCATTAATATTTAAATAACCAGGGTAGTTACAGCACTTCCCGTGTAAGCAGATGTTGACTCAAAGACGTTAAAGAATGAAAAGAGGTAAAACTGGTCCTGTTTTAATTGATATAAATCTAATACATAAAAGTAAGAACTGGGTCAATTTAGTAGATCTCATTAACATTTAATCAAATAACTATCTGAGTCATGGTTTCCCATGTAGGTGAATTAAAGCGCCGACATATTTCATTTCACAGTTCTCATTCAACAGTCAGAATTCCTGAACTGTGCTTAGCTGTTATCTCTCCTTGTGAGAATGAAAGCTATTATCATAAATGGAGAAGTGGGTTTTTTAAACACCCTCTCGCGTGTTTTTGCTTATCCTAAATTAGCATGAATCTTTTTATTTATTGAATATTTATTGAGCAATTTCTAAACCAAGAAACCTGATACTAGATAGAGGATATCTCCCACAGAAAGTTGAAAAAGAAAACTGTTAACCCTACACTTTATCATACCTACTTGAAATAATGTGAAAACAGTGGTGCTATTTCCAGCTCAAACATATCATATTGAAGAATTCCAACAAAATGTTCTCCTTAATAAATGTTTAGAGACAGAACAAAATCTAGGTAAACACAATACAATATTGATAGAATCAAAGAATCTAAAGGTCAAAAGTATATAATTTGCTAAAACTGTCTTACTAAACCTTAAATATTAAGGTTGAAAATCATGTGTCCAATATATAATTTTTGATATGGAACAAAGCTATTTATCCACAGTGTTCTTTAGAATAAAAAAAATTGTCAATAAATAAAATTTCCAACAATAAGACATCAGATAAGTAAGTTACTATACACCAAAAAGATAAAATTATTATACATACAGCAATTAAAATGATTCTACTAAGAATGTTTTGAAAAATATAATATTATTAGGTAAAGAAAAGCAGAATATTAGATTGGATATATGGTTTTTTCCTTATTTAATACTTCTTAATAATTTCTAAATTTTCCACAAAAATTTTGTACTCAGAAAAAAATAATTTTGTTGCTTCTTTAAAAAAACAAAGTGAAGCAACTGCTAGACATGACAGAAAAAGTGCTTATTCCTTATTCCTTATTACTACCTGGGTATGACCTCTTCTGTTTCCTAGGAATAAGGTTCTATTTGCCCTTCTAGAATAGCTTTTTCTTTCTCTAACATTCTGTTAAGATGTGTCCTGATCTCCTAAAGCCACAGAATCCCAGAGACTCACAGTAAATTTTCTCTTCGGTAAATCAGAAGGCTCTGCATAAATGTGAGATGCTATAATAATATTTATTATCATATCTGTAATTCATTCTGCCTGGAGTACAGTTCATAATGAGAGTGCATATAGCTGGTACTAAGCAAATATTACTGAATTGATGAAACTAAATAAGGAACCACATTTTAGACTTACAAGATATTAAATGTTCATGTGGTCCAATTCCTGCATCTTCAGATTAGAAAACTTATACCAGGGAGTAACTGACTTGATCAAGATGACAAGGCCAAGACTCAAAGCCAGAATTTACTTATAGCTCTAAATCTCATCTGCTTTCTACTCTCCCATCTTTCTTTTTTTTTCCTTTTTGAGATAGAGTCTCGCTCTGTCACCCAGACTGGAGTGCAGTGGTGCGAACTCAGCTCACTACAACCTCCGCCTCCTGGGTTCAAGGGATTCTCTTGCCTCAGCCCCCCAAGTAGCTGGGATTTCAGGCACCCACCACCACACCCAGCTAATTTTTGTATTTTTAGTAGAGACGGGGTTTCACTACGTTGACCAAGCTGACCTCAGGTTCCTGACCTCAGGTGATCCAACCGCCTCGGCCTCCCAAAGTGCTGGGATTACAGGCGTAAGCCATTGCCCCCGGCCCACTCTCCCACCTTTGTTCCAGATATATTCAAATATTCTGACTCTTACTGTCTCAGTAGATAATAACAGCCTGTAATAGTCCTAAATCCCTTTTATGGATTGTTAAAGGATGTAGTAAAGAAATAAACAAATGAATAAAAGGAAACACTGATAAGTAAATCTGTCTAGAGAAGTCTGGTTTTTAGAAACAACTCTGTAATAATCCAGGTCCTGCCATGACTCATCCGAGGACCTTGTGTAAGACAGTAACTTCTCTGGGTCCCACCTGATGTGCTAGAGCCAGCGCAAGAGACCTGATGGTTAAATTTTCAGGAATACTGAGAGTCAGTTGTTCAACAGAGCCACCGTTAACAATTAAACTGTCATTGAAGAAGTTACATTTTAAAACATAAGTTCAAAGTACT